TCTTCTTCTTCTTCTTCTTCTTCTTCTTCTTCTTCTTCTTCTTCTTCTGCTTCTGCTTCTGCTTCTGCTTCTGCTTCTGCTTCTGCTTTCTCCATCTGTTGTTGTGTTTGCTGATAAATAGCAAGCGCCATTTCTAAAAAATGAAAGGCTTCTTTCACAGCGTCCTTGCCTTCTTTCTTTATTTTTCCATATTCCTTTCTAAGTTCATCAACAGGTAAAGCCATTGTAAATCTTTTCTTTTTTTCTTCTTCTTAAAACAACCAAGATGCTTCAAAAGTTAGAACAGTTCCCCAAAGTCCCAGAGTCATCAATCAGTCCAAACAAAGCACAAAGTTCTCACTTTCTCTTCCTGGGGTAATATCAATAAAAAGAAAAGAAAAGCCCAATCTATATTTTAAAGCCTTGTTGCAATTAATCAAAATCTTCAAGGCATCTCCTCCAACAAGATCTTAATATTTTTTTTTGTCCTCTCCCTTCCCACTTATAACAAGGAGCCAAATTTTTACCTTCTATAAAAAGACAGGTTTCTCAATATCCATTTGTTGATTCCATAGGGAAGGAGAGTAAACTTTCCTTTTCAGCACCTCGAATTTGCCGCTTGAAATTCTCCTCTGGAAACAAAGTATCATTCAAAAAGTCATAGTTTTTGGGATGTTAGGTGTATCTTAAAGTCCTGGGTCAGCCAAGAAAAAACTTTCTCTTCAAAACTTTCTCCCTCTTCCTCTTGCACAGTCTTACCCAGCTGCCGGCTTCTTTGTGGCGGCCATTACAGACCGCCGCTCCACCGCCTTGAGAAAAGGGGGTTTAGCCGGCTGGGGAGGGGGTCTGCAACACCCCCAAACCCCTCTCTGGATCCCCCATGTCTTTGGCTGCCTCTACGGGGCAGCCTTAGCCTCCAGACCGTCGGGATCGGAGGCACCAAGACGGCTAGCGCCGCAGGGATCGCGCAGTATCGCAAATCCCTGCCGCTGCCAAAGCCGACAAACCGGAAGTCTCAGCTTTATTCTTTTTGCAGCTATGTTCCTGAATTGGAGAGTTTGACAATTTGTTTCTGTGGAAAAAAAAATAGAAATAAATAAAATAGCTCTGCTACCTTTGGATTTAGCCCTTGACATTTTGAATTTATACATCCCTAATTTACAATATAAATCTATAGATGTCAATACAAATCAAATTTCATGGAGCTAACTTCCAGACACTTGGAATATATATATGGAATATATAACAATATATAACTTCAAACAGTAATAACAATAACATTTTAACTAGCTTATTATTTTCTTAGTATCATGCCAGACTTCAAAATATAGACATGACAACTCAGTTTGTTATGGCCAATCAACAATGTGTTTTATTTTTCTATTTATAGAATATGTATAGTTTAATGGATAACACAAATATTGTTTCTTACAGATATCCATGCAATATATCGTGATGTAGCAGAAGAAGAGGAAGAATTTGAAGTAAACAACGGTAAGGCAAAGAAATGTTTTAATATAATTAAAAATGGCAATTAAAATACTTATTATCATTCCCGAAACATTCCTTTATTTTTACAGATTTTTTTTAAATAGCAAAAATACTAATAGTACAATAATATATAAAATACCTCAGACTAAACCAAGATCATTTTTTAAAAGAGGGAGAATGTTAAATGTTAATTTGGAACATGTACATGGAGTTTGTATGTGTATTTCCTGGCCTGTAGCAAACGACCAAGTCCTGAACTGGAGAATTGACTCCCCCATCGCCTTATTCAGTATTTTTGTCCACACTAAATTTTGGATAGGCAAACGTACAGAACGTATTAGGAGACAATGTGAATACAAAGTCTTCAAATCACACTCCTGATGATTTCATGGACCAGACATATAATTTTATTCTCAGCATTAGGAAATGATTTGCCATTATCTTCTTCCCGGAAGTTTTTTTTTTTCCTTGTTCCCCAGTCTAACCTACAAACCTGGGATTTCCTCATGATCTTGTCTACTAATAACTAGGTTTGAACTTGCTTAGTGTTTTTTTAATCAGCAGATTCAGTTAGACAGTTGATAAATGATTGTCAAATTTGATTAAATTGTAAGAGATTTTTCAGGACTTTTTATTGTATTAATTTGGGAGCATGCATATGGTGCATAACAGCAGTATCACTAATATTATTATATTTATTTGATACGTTTTTCATAAAAACTGTCAAAAATAAGCTAGAGAATAAATGACATCACACATATTATGACTTTCTATAAATTTATACAGTAATATCTTCAGGAAATTTCCAGTTCTGTGGATCAGAATATTTCAAAATGTATTTTCCAGATATATAGGAGTGCTTATACTGGTTCCACTTAAATGGTTTAAAATGATTGATAAGTTAGTGATGAAACTTTTAACAAAATACCAAGGAACTCCTTGTTAAAGATATGTCTTATGTTGACAATAGCTTCAATTGTTCTGATTTTTAAACATCATTAGGCTTGTTAATCATGTATTGAAATGGAAACACTGAATACCTACCATTGTGTTCCTATTTAGTACTCTTGCAATCCTGGCAGGTTATTGGTTCTAATTGGAGAAGGGATTTAGTTCCTATTTTAGCAGAAAAGAAGTTGGGTATATTTTGGCCTTAAAAATTAAGTGATTTTTCCTCTCATTAGAAATTGACACTGTTAGGTTCTGATGTAATGTGAGGGAAAAAAACCCCAAAACACAGTTCTGAATTGTAATTTTTTATCTCCCTCATAAACACCGGCACGAACTGACATCCATCAATTGGAAATTCAAAGTCAGGACTAACCATCCAGTAACTGTCCCACCCTTTTAAATTGTTCCCTAACCCTGCCCATCCACCCATGCGCGTGCCCCACCCTCCATTCTTCCCCAAGCAGAGTCAGTAGACATTAAGCAGTGAGGCCAGCAGAGTTCCATCGCCAGCCAAACTCAGTGCACATGCGCGCAAGCGTCCGCTTTTGTTTCAGCTGCGTGGCCACCCAACAGCTGTTCGGTGTTGATGTCAGCAGGTCTGGTGTGGGCTCAGCAGTCCAGTGCGTTTAGCGTCACTGTGGCTGTGTCGTTCTCAGGTCCCCGCGGAAAAGGCAATCCCAGCTTGTCTGTTCCCTGCCGGAATGGCAGCCCTGGGCCGCCAGACACACCAGGGCTGACATTGAAGCAATTCATATGTTAAAATGACTAATAAACTTTCCTGCTTTTGTTGTTGAAAACCTGGGCTCATAATATAATTGTTCCCTTATTAACTATGTAATTATTAAATTTATACGCTGCCCATCTCACTATTGAGAGCAAAGTTATACTTTTCTATAAATGTATTGTAGTCAATGATCAGTAACAATGATATTTTCGAAACTTCTAAGATTTTACAAAATTACCTTAAACACTAGATGGCAGTGCATATTGTACTGATGAAATACTTGTTTGGTACATTGTTTGGCTCCATTTCCCTCATTTCCCTCTGAAATCCAGGGGTCTTGGATGTACCTTGTTTAACTATGGTGATTGAGAGTGGAATCTCCATGGCTAAGCAATGTGTTCATAAAGGCCCAGATCATGTGACCATGCTGCTTAGCAACAGCAGTTTACAGCAATCCCCGGTCACCATCACTGAGGACCATCAGCATTGGATTTTTTTCTTCTTTTTTTTCTTGTCTCACTATTTTTTTTATAAAATAGGTTTTGTTTCTTTTTTGTAAATGTATAGTGTAAAAACTAGTGATTTAATAATTTAGTTATATAGTTATGTTGCTTTTTAGCTTATATATAAAATTACCTAACCAATACTAAGATCTTTTTTTATTAAACATAAAAAATTCAATATCTACATAAACAGTATGTTGTCTGGGTATAATTAATCTTGAAAAATAGCACCCTCAGAGCACCCCCCAAAGCAATTGATCCAGGCTGCACAGGAACACAAGGTTGTGCCACCCACATGACCCGCAGGAACCCTCCCCGCCCACTCACTCCTTACCTAGCAAACTTGCCTGCTAAGTTGTTATTTTTCCTTTTTTTCCCGACCATCAGCTGTTCTGCTGTGCCAGGAGATTTAGGTTAGCTAGAAAGCAAGAAATCATTGGATTTCTTGCTTCCTAGCTAAATTTTAGATCTTTGCCTCTGCTTTTAAGCCTTCCTTAGGACTTCCTTCGGCTCTGATTTTTCAGTTTTTCCTTAGGACTGAAACTGTGCAGGTTCAGCTAGCTGATGGCAGAAACACAGATCTCTAAGTGAATCTGATTCTGTAAGCAACTCAATCTTCCTGCCTGCTTTGCCTGATTTTGGGTAAAAGTTGCTCTTTTTATATATATATATATATATAAATATAAAATTTATTTTAATGGTATGTTGTGAGTTAATTTTGTGAGTTTGCTTGCAAGCAAATTTTATGTGACAGACTCAGATAGCCGATGGCAGAAACACAGATCTCTAAGTGAATCTGTGATTCTGTGAGCAACTCAATCTGTCTGCCTACTTTGCGTGATTTTGGGTAAAAGTTGCTCTTTTTTTAATAAAAATATTCAACATTTATATAAATATTTATAATATTTACATGCAACCCATGCCCAGCCAGTCACATGACCACCAAGCCCCACCCACAAATTAGGCCACGCCCACAGAACCAGTTAGTGGGATTTAAAATTATGAGTTTGGTGGTCCCTGAGGTCCAAAAGGTTGGCAACCCCTGTTCTAGCATATTCAGGATGATTCTTGTGTTATTTTTGATTTGTCTCTTAGATAAAAATTCATTCTGATTTGAGTGTATAAATTCAATAATATTTTAGTCTCTCTGCTATTATTGAGGCATATATATTTATAGTCTACATTTAGCAGTGATATGAGGCTATAGTTTTTAATCTGTGTTAAATTTGAGTCTTCTTTTGCTATCAGAGTGATATTTGCTTCCATCCAAGTATTTGATAGCTTCTAATAATACTTCATTATAGATTTCCAAAATTGATGTTTTTAAAATGTGTCTAAGATCTTTTTAAGTAATGTTAATAGTAATGCCTTACATTTTTATTTTATAATCATTACAAATTGGTATACATAGATGAAGGGGGAAAACCTGTATAGTGCTTGATAGATTTTTTTATATCCATCTTTCACTCTTGGAATTGCATTGCTGAAAAACACTTGTGAGATTTGTTGATCTTTGATTTTGGTTCTTTTAGAATCCAGAGCTTCCTTAATTGACCAAGACAGAGCATTGGAAAGTGAAGATCAAACTGTTGCTGAAGGTAAATCTGTTTTTAACTGGCTTCCCCCCCCCCCCCCCCCAAAAAAAATTAGTTTGTGCTAGTCAAGGCAGATAAATAACAAGTAGGAAAAAGGAATTCATTTCTCTGTGGCTGAATTCCAGCCAAATAATTACACTATCACACCACTTTTCGTCCCTTTTGGTTGGGAGAGTTAGTAGTTGGCTGACTATTATAACTGGAAAAAAGCAGTGAGTTTAAGTCAGGTTTGCTAACTGTGGCTAATCTAGAGAACTGACCCTATAGAAAAGCATTTCCTTCTAGGTAGTTGAGATATACTGTATGTATAATGTAATAAATGATCTATTACTTAGTTTGCAAGGATGAAATTGTAAAGGTAAAATAAATTAACTCTAATGTTGAACATTAAGAAGCTGCCAGGAGGGCCTCTTAATTCTTTTTTAATATTATTTTATTTTTAGTATACATCCATATTATGTGTGAACAGTGTTGATTCTGAGATCATTCATATTAATCCAATTTACCACAATATTAGTATTCTTTATCACAATCAAATGTAATCCTCTTTATATTATTTAAACCTTACATAAAAAAGATGCCTAACCCTTAATCTTTCTATTATTTATTAATCCAATTTATCACAATATTAATATTCTTTATCACAATTAGATGTAAGTGATCCTTTTTATATTATTTAAACCTACATTAAGAAAAAGATGCCTAACATCTATAAAGCTTTAATCTTTCTTTTTTTTTTTGTTCCATAAAGGAAAAGAAAATCGAATAAACCTACATTAAGAAAAAAATGCCTAACATTTTTAAAGCTTTAATTTTTCTATATTTTTTTTGTTCCATAAAGGAAAAGAAAATCGAATAAACCTACATTAAGAAAAAGATGCCTAACCTCTATTAACCTTTAATCTTTCTATTTTTTTTGTTCCATTAAAAAAAAAAGGAATTTCCCCTATCTAGTTTATTTCTGCTTGTCCAACTTACAATCAAGCTTCCTTAATATTTAGAAAGCAGTTGTTTCTATCCATCATCTCTTGCTCTTATTATTGCTTCAATTCTTATCTGTTTTTTACCCATTTTCTACACTCGTCATCTTTATCTTTATCTTCATCTATATCTTTTTTATATAATCTAAAGATTTATCCCATTACATTCTTAAAGCCAATCCAAAATCCAATATTCAGTGCTTTTTTTAAAAAAAACCCTCTTATTTCTTCCTTATTCCAGTTTTTTCCAGGGCTGAATCAATAGTTCAAAGTGCCCAATAGTCACAAAAGTTACTCTTTTTTTAAAAAAAAATAAAGTTTTATTGGGTTTTAACAAAACATAACAAATAAAACATCTTATTTGAGTACAGCAAGATTCCAGGTTATCACATTTCCATACAGACACAATTTCATACGCATATTCATCTTATGTATTCAACTTCATATCTTATCACTCTTTTTCCAACTTCTCACTATTTCTCCCTTTACTTCTCTTAATTTTCTTTTATAGTTATCTCATTTTCTTATTCAATTGGTATTTCTTTTGCCTAAATTTCTATATCGTTTTATTCATTATACTTATACTTTCGTCTGTCTTGTTTACAATTTCATATATTCTCTTCCAACATTATTGAAAAGCAAAGTTCCTCCGATGATTGCCAATTAGAGTGCAACACCTTTGAATCTTATAATTATTATCATATGAAATCTCATTAAACATTAAATTTGTGCATTCTAAAGTTATAACATTCAAATTTCTAATATCTATTTTATATCATGTAATTCCCATCATTCAGATTCTGCTTGGTACTTCCCCTTGAAAATACAAAAAAAATTATAAGAAAATAGCA